GGAGCCGCGTGTGCCCGCCCCATCCAGCCCCGGCTCCAGGCAACACCCGGCAGCGATGCGGCCGCAGTAACGGAACGTTTATGGCCATGGATAATCAATAACTTAACGTTTATTGACAAATGCGATTCAAACCCCCCTGCCCCCAAACCCGGGCTGCAACCAGCCCCGGACCCCGCCCCACTGCAGGAGCCTCACGGGACAGTGGGGCAGGCACCAGTCCCAGCCGGGGGTAGACACCAACGGCCACCAGCCCCCTTTAGCAAAGGCCAAGCAGTCAAGGGGCAGCCCCACCATCACTTCTGCCGCTTGTAGATCTTCTGAGCTAGGCCAAGGAAGATCTCCTTGGGCAGGTGGTGGCTGGGGGTCCTGATCAGCTCCTGCAGGCGCTGGTAGCTGCTCTCCTCGTACTCTTGGAAAGCAGCCCTCATGCCCAGAGTGTCATAGAGCTCCTTCACCTTTGCCACCTTCTCGGGTTCCTTACAGCCATAGTTCTCCTGAGGAGATACCAGGCCAAGTCAGGCTGAGGTCCAGCATCTGGCCACTGCCATAGCTGCTCCTTCAAGGAGTATCAGGAGTCACCTCTTGTCCTCCCTGCTACTGCCTCCAACCTCTCACACCAACCAGGCAGCAGGAGAGCAGCGCTGCAGGGTGTACAACAGGGCACTAGACCCCCTCTACCCCACATCTCCCCTCCTTCAGGGGGTTGTGAACCTGGTAGCGTTACCTCCAGGATCTGCCTTTGCTCTGGTGTGACCCGATTCAGGCACTGCACCACCAGCCAGCTGCACTTATTGTCCTGGATATCAGTGCCAACCTTCCCTGTCAGCGCCGGGTCTCCGTAACAGTCTAGGTAATCATCCTATATAGAGATGGAAACACGTGAGTGCCACAACCAGCATCTTACAAGCACTAAGGGACAGGGAGCCACCACCTACCTGGATCTGAAAGAATTCACCCATCTCCAGCAAGATGGCTTTGGCATTGTCATGCTCCTCCTTGCTGTCAATACCAGCCTAAGAAGGGGGGGAAAAGAATGAATGAAGCCTTGCAGTACCTGCCCTCCACCCTTTCCCATCTCCCAAAGCTCCTGCCCTTCTTGACAGCAAGAGCAAGTCCTAAGACAGCGACCAAAGACTCACCATGTACATGGCAGCAGCCACAG